AACATATTCAAATACAATTATCATGCCATTCACATTTCACATTATTCATTATCAACCAATGACATGTCCACACATTTCAACCACATTGCAACCAACCATTTAGCTACACATCATACTCAATATCAATCACATTGCAATCCACTCAAAGTTTCCATTACAATATAATGAAACAGGGTTCTTCATTTTACAATTTAGGGGTTTTGGATTCTGGCTTTCTGTTTTGAAATTGTTGTATAGAATCTGTGATTTAAGGGATAATTGCATGGTTGAAGGGCATTTGGGATTTTTAATTGAATCAATTTGCTTCATTTTGTCATAATCACACCTTAGGGTAGCAACGTTCGTCTATAATTACATAGAATCCCACTTTGATTTAGTTTAGCACAATTTGAACCCTAGAGTAACTACTATTATATGTGATAGTGATCACTCTGTGTTGTGCAACTCTGAACCATAGTAATTACCCTAGGACTAATGTGTGCTGGGACTTCTGGACTGTAATGTCATTACTAAAATACTGCACTTTCTTCTTTGCACATGCTGCACACACATCCTTTTGTTAAAATGCTGCCTTTTAAGAGTAATTACTCTCACTCCTATTAATGTTTACTTTCCATGTGCATAAGTTGCTTAAATGAGAGCAACCACTTTGAACTGCATCACTTGTGACCTACATGACTTTCTCTGTACTCTGTTGTGTATGTTTGCCTGAGATATGCATTTCTCCGCATCAATGCTACTGAAATTGGGATTGAACTGCACTCCCAAAGTAACCACTTTCACATGTAGTAAAGTGACTGCATTGCATTTACTCTGAAACATCTTTTTGCAATTTATGCCTAAATTTAGCATTATGCATTTCTCTGCATTTGCATTTACCCTGCTGCTGCATAACTATCATGACAAGTTTCAAGTTCCGTAGTAGTTACTTTGGCATCACAGTTCTCGAGCTTGAGCATCATGTAAAGCTACCATTGTTGCATATGCACAGCTGCTACCTCACTTTGCTGTCACACATAGCTTAACATGTTATCTGCCCCTTTTGAAAGTGTCTTGTATCCATTATATTGCATAAAGGCTGCATTACCTGCATCATACAGTTTTCACTTTCATTCAGCAAGTGTCCACTTTAGCCTTGCATTTCTCATAGTAACTACTCTAAACCCCACTTTTGGCAATCTCTATCTGTCTATCTACTACAACACATGAGTTTACCTGCATTTCCTCATTTTCTTTATGCTTTTTCTTCTGAATTCTTTGAACACTTGTCATACGCATTTACTACATGAATTTACTGCACATTTCACTCATTATTTCCTCTCTTCTTTGCAGAAAAATGGTGAACACTCCCACAAGGAACACCCAAGAACCAAAAGGGTCAGGACAATTGGTGCCTCCTCATCCAGACCCACACCTACACATGACCCCAGATTTAGGTCAATCGCTCATGAGAATTTGATAAATGCCTTCTATACTTAGTCTTATAATGTAATTCATGAATGATAATTGGCATTTTTTGAGCTATTCATTAAGAGAATTTATTATTAAGTCCATTTTATTCTTATTTTAAGAAAAAGGATCAAGAAGTGAGAGCTGAAAGGATAGTGAGAATTAAAGTAAGAAAAAACTAGAAATATACACGGGCAAGTACATGGCCGTATACATGAGCGTGTTCCTCAATGGTTGCATCAATCAAGCACATAATCAGAATCAGAGATATACATGGGCAAGTACACGCCTGTGTATATGAGTGTGTATCTGACTGGTCGCGTCAATTGAAGTACATCATCAAAACCAGAGATGTACACGGTCAAGGTACATGGTCGTGTACATGAGCGTGTACTTCCCAGAAAAGTTGTGAAGGGCAAATGTTAGAGACCAGAGATGTACACGGTCAAAGTACATGGCCGTGTACATAGGCGTGTACTTTTAATATACGTCAAAATTAAACTTCTGCAAGAAGAAGAGCCCTTGGACTACTCATATAAAAGGAAAGTTGACACATAAATCTAGGACACGTTGTTTTTGGGAAAGAAGGAGTCAGTGACGGCTAGAGAATGGAATCAAGCTCTTTAATTTTTCTCTTTTGTAATTGTAGTTTCTACATGTTTAGGTTCTAATTTTCCTTTGAGTATCTAGACGTGATGAATTTTATGTCACCAAACCTTCTAGAATTTTTCTTAATGCTATTTCATGTTTTCTTCTCTTGAGTTTAATTGAGTAGTATTAATTGTCTCCTATCTTATTTTCTTATTTGATTTTGAGCAAAAATCCTGCATGAAATTACCATTGCTCAATTAAAAGGACTTGAATGTATTTCTAGAGATTGCAAGGCATAAGTTTTTTGTATTAGGAATAACCCTAATTATGGAATTCATAATGAACTTAATGCAACCTAGGGGAACTAATTAAGGAAGGGATTTCGATTATTCAACCGAAGGTTAGAAACCATTATCCTTGAGAAAGGTATTGGTTTATTTCAGTAATTCTTGTAGCAACAAGGCACTAGAACTAAGTAGTTGGAAGAGAATTCCAGTTATTTGGACACTTAGGAGGATTTATAATCTAGATAATCACTTGTTTCTCTTGAATAAATTTAGTCATATTTTTCTAGATATTATTATTATAGAAATCTGTTTCTTTTAAATTATTAATATCTTAGTTCAGCAAAATTTATTAACATAATCTCTGCTTATATTCGTTGACAATTGGGTAATTAAGGTAGCAATTCTTAATAACAGTCCCTGTGGATACGATACTTGGTACTCTAGTTTTTGCAATATTACTCTGACAATGAGTACACTTGCCCAGTTATCGATTTTTACACATCAAGTTTTTGACGTCGTTGCCAAGGACTAATTGATTAAGATTTCCGTGATTATGTCTGATGAATCCACATTTTATTGGATTTTTAGTTGTCATTTTGATGTTTCTTAATAGAAAAAAAGTAAATTTAGGAAGTGTAAATAACATAAAAACATCATTTTGGTCAAATATCATAGGTTTCTTAATTCTTGGTTAATTTATATTGATTAACATAGATATAATTTACAATTTTGATCATTTGAATAATTGTGTAGGAATTTCTAGACTTTTTCCATGGATTTTCAGCATTTGAGAAAGTTTGATATTAAAGTGATCACTTTGGATCTCATAGTGAACACTACAGCAAGCTAAATCCAAAAGGGCAGATTAAAGTGATCACTATGAACCCATAGTAACAACTACAGAGACCCTTTTGAAGAAGTGTTGCGCGTGCTTACTTTGAAACCATAGTTGACACTCTGGAGTAGCCAAAGTTATCACTCTGATACCAAAGTGAAGACTCCAAAGAGGCCAAAAGTACAAGACTTGCACGTGACTACTATGAGGAGAGAGTAACTACTATGGAGCACTGCACGTTATCACTATGACACCAAAGTGATAACTCCAGAGAGGCTCAAATCACAGAACTTGCGCGTGGCCATTATGGAGCGATAGTAACTACTATGGAGCACTACGCGTTATCACTATGAAACCATAGTAGTTACTATGGACGAAAATTTCTACACTATAAATAGAATTTGAGAAATTAGGGTACGAGCTTTTTACATAACTTTAGATTCTTTTGCCACTTTGGGAGCATTTTGCAGAGCTTAGGATCCTTGGGTGACAGCCAAGGCCAATCTTAGGGTTTGATTTACAATTTCTCTTCATTTTCCTTTAATTCTTGCATTAATGATATTGATTTCCCTTTGTCTTCATCTTGAATTTGTAAGACCCATCCTTATGGAGGGCTAAACTTTCTTGTAATCCTTAGTGAGTTCATGGATTCTTGAATTCCTGGGTATGAATGTCAATATAATTTCCCTTTTCTTCATGAATTTATATTTCCCAACTCTTTGGATTAAATTAATGGTTGAATGAGGGGAACATTGCTTAATTAACCCTAATTCGTTTTAATGAAATTCTTAACTTGGTTTGCTTAATCCTAAGTTAATTTCTAAGGTTGCGTAATCTTAGGGAAAAGAGTTGGAGCCCATGTAAATTGCTTAATTTGTATGGGACTTTAAGGTTAATTCTTGCTTTTTGAGTTACCCTAATTCAGAGGAAGAGGAAAAGTATTGAATCTTGAGAGGGATAGGGATAGAATTACATGAACAAACTAAGGATTGCACATTTCATTGACTGGACTCGTTAATTTCATCACTTGCCTTTACATTAAAATTGGAATCACACAAAACCCCCTTGTTTTAATTGCTTTTATAGTAAATGTTTACACATTGTTCAATGTATGTTACAAACCAAAGTCATTGGAGACAACCTAGGCTTGCATCCTAGACTACATAAATTTTTCTGCATATTTTGATGAAGGTTGACAACAAATCTTTTTGCATACGAGAAAATTTTCGTCCATCAATGTCTTTACTAATTATTTTTATTTCTTTAGTCTTTCATTAACTTTTCTATTTTGCTTTCATTCTTTTTAGGAGCTGATTTTTCTGGTGCATGACCAGAACTAGTTCTGCTGCATTATTTGAACTTGACCCAAAATAGAAAGAACCTTATGAAATATTCAGAAAGAGAGGCGGCTGCTAGTACAGAGGGAAAATGCACAAAACCACATGGAAGGGATGACAAACAATGAAGATCAAGCAAGGACTATGTCTGATTATGCTCATCCATCATTAACTACGACAAAATCTAGTATTGTCCGTCTGGATGTGCAAGAGAATTTTGAAATAAAGCCCAATGTTATTAAAATGGTTCAACAGTTTGTTCAACTTGACGGGTTACAAGATGAAGACCCTAATGCTCACATTGCAAATTTTTTGGAGATCTGTGATACTTTCAAGATTAATGGAGCTACTGATGATGCAATACGCTTATTGCTATTTCCATTTTCTCTCAGGAGCAAAGCAAAACAGTGGTTGAACTCTCTTCCACGAGGATCTATCACTTCATGGGAGGCCATGGCAGAAAAGTTCTTAGCAAAGTATTTTGGTCCCGCAAAAACTGCCAAGATGAGGAGTGATATCTCTTCCTTCTACCAATTGGAGTTAGAGAATTTATATGATACGTGAGAGAGGTTTAAGGAATTGTTAAGGAAGTGCCCACATTATGGGATTCCTGACTGGATTCAAGTGCAAACCTTTTACAATGGATTGAACCCAGGCACAAGACAAATGGCAGATGTTACAACTGGGGGAACTTTAAATAGCAAGACACTAAGGGTTGCACAAGAACTATTTGAAGAAATGGCAATGAATAGCTATTAGTGGAGCTCCACTCGATCCAAACCTGCAAAATCTGCTAGGATTTATAGTCTTAATGCAGTAATATCTTTGGCAATGCAAGTTGAAGCCTTAAGAAAGAAGATTGATAGTTTATCTATTAACCATCCAGTTGCTCTGGTGATGAGATGTGATATTTGTGAAGGAGGCCACCCTAAACATGAGTATTAAGCTACTCAAGAAGAGCATGCCAATGTGATAGGAAATAGACCACCTTACCAAAATTATAATGGCATGAACAATCCAGGCTAGAGGAATTATGCAAACTTACCATGGAACAACAACCAATAGCCAATGCAGAACAATACACTCCCAGGATTTCAACAAGCTTCACATCCACCACCACCCCCAGCTGAAAAGAAATCAAACCTTAAGGAGTTGATGACCAAATTCATTCAAACTTTAGAATCTCGGTTTCAATCCACCGAGACAACACTAAGAAATTAACAAGCCTCTATTCATAATCTAGAAAATTAGTTGAGTTAAATTTCTAGACTCCTCTCAGAAAGCCCCAAAGGAAGCTTGCCTGGTAATATTGAGACTAATCCTATGGAGCAGGTCAAGGCAGTCACATTAAAGAGTGGCAAAACATTACAAGAGAAGGGGAAGCAAGAAACAAAAAAAACTGCAGTTGAAGAGGAGGATAAATGTCAAGAAGAGACTGTGGAAAATCCCCTTAAAGTGAAGGAATTCATACCTCAACTTTCCTACCCAGCAAGATTAAAGAAAGACAAGGATGATGAACAATTTGGTAAATTTCTTTTCTTATTTTAACAACAACATATCAATTTACTATTTGATACTTTAGCACAGATGCCCAAGTACGCCAAATTTCTGAAGGATCTATTGTCCAACAAGAAGAAGTTAGAGGAGTTGGCCACAGTAACTCTGAATGAAGAATGTTTAGCAATTCTTCAAAACAAGATGCTCAAGAAATTAAAAGATCCAGGGAGTTTTACTCTTCCTTGTCTCATTTGTAGATTGATAGTTGATAGGGCTTTGGCTGATTTAGGTGCTAGCATTAATATGATGCCATACTTTGTCTTTAAGAAATTGGGTTTAGGGGAGCCTAGGCCAACTAGGATGAGTATTCAACTAGCTGATAGGTCAATTAAATATTTTAGGGGTATCATTGAGGATGTGCTTGTAAAAATGAACAAATTTATTTTTTCTAGTGATATTTTTATTCTTGATATGGACGAGGACATTGAAGCCCCTTTGATCTTGGGTCGTCCCTTTTTAGCTACTGCAAAGGCTGTAATTGATGTGAGTGATGGAAAGTTAATTTTGAGAGTTGGAGATGAAAAAGTCACTTTCAAAATTCCTGATGTAACGAAAAGGTCTTGAAAACAAGATGATTCTTACTACTTCATTAATGTAATGGATTATTTTTGTTTCTGATTGTGCACAGGAATTCTTAATTTCAGACCCATTGGAAAGAAGTTTAGTTCAAAAAGAAGGAAAATATGATATGAGCTTGCTAACTCAAGAACAATGATGTCATTTAGAAGCCACTAAGCCATTATTGAGAAAGAGGGACTTTGAAGTTTTGGAGTGGAATTTAGATAAGCAACCCAACTCATCCATTAATGAACCACTAGATGTAGAATTGAAAGTCCTACCTGAACACCTGGAGTATGCTTTTTTGGAAGATGGTTGCAAGTTATCGGTCATTATTGCTTCAAATTTAACACAAGAACAAAAAGCCCAGGTGTTAAATGTACTTCGGGAACACAAGAAAGCAATAGCATGGAATATCTCTAACATAAGAGGGATTAGTCCTTCCTTTTGCACTCACAAGATATTGATGGAGTCTAATTTTAAGGCTGTAGTGCAACCACAAAGAAGGCTAAACCCAAATATGAAGGAAGTATTGAAGGCTGAAGTGATTAAGCTACTTGATACCAGAATGATATATCCCATCTCGGATAGTCCTTAGGTAAGCCTGGTGCAAGTCATTCCAAAGAAAGGAGGAATGACTGTAGTGCCCAATGAGAAAAATGAGTTGGTGCCTACTAGGACTGTCACTGGATGGAGGGTTTGTATTAACTACCAGAAATTGAATGATGCAACAAGAAAAGACCACTTCCCTCTTCTATTCATTGACCAAATGCTGGAGCATCTTTTGGGCCATATTTTTTACTGTTTCTTGGATGGGCTCTCAGGATATTTCCAAATCCCAATAGCACCAGAAGATTAAGAGAAAACTACCTTCACATGCCCATATGGAACATTTGCTTACTGTCGGATGCTGTTCGAATTATGTAATGCACCAGCAACTTTGTAGCGGTGTATGATGGCCATTTTTTATGAGATGATAAAGGATATAATGGAGATATTCATGGATGATTTCTCAGTCTTTGGTGACTCATTCTCTCATTGTTTAAAGAATTCGTCAAGGGTACTTTAAAGATGTGAAGAAACCAATTTGATGCTTAATTGGGAGAAATGATATTTTATGGTGCAAGAGGGCAATGTACTTTGTCATAAAATTTCCTGTAAGGGAATTGAGGTAGATAAGGCAGAGATTGACACAATCGAGAAGCTACCGCCTCCTACCTCTGTTAAGGCGGTTTGAAGCTTCTTAGGCCATGCGGGATTCTACAGAAGATTTATCAAGGATTTCTCCAAGATCACCAAACTTCTAACTAGACTTTTGGAAAAGGAAAATTCCTTTGTTTTTGATGAGGAGTGTTTCATTGCTTTTGAGCTACTAAAAAGAAAACTAACCCAAGCTCCTATTTTATGTGGTTCTGATTAGAACTATCCATTTGAGTTGATGTGTGATGCAAGAAACTATGCTGTGAGAGTTGTACTTGGCCAGAGAAAGGACAAGCATTTTCAGGCCATTTATTATGCCAATCAGACCCTAACAAGTGCTCAAGAGAATTACACTACAACAGAGAAAGAATTATTGGCTGTGGTGTTTGCGTTTGATAAATTTTACCAATATTTAATTCTTTCTTAAAGTTATAGTGTATACTGATCATTTTGCATTACGTTATTTGCTAACCAAAACTGATGCAAAGCCTAGACTAATGAGGTGGGTCTTGTTGCTGCAAGAATTCGACTTGGAAATCAAGGATAAGAAGGGTTTAGAAAATTTGGTTGCTAATCATTTGTCAAGGTTGGAAAATCCCAGTATGAAAGAATTAGATGAAAAGAGCATTAATGACAAATTTCCATAAGAACATTTGTATAATGTGGTTTTACCACAAGAGTTTTCAAATCAACAAAAGAAGAAATTCTTTTTTGTTTTGAAACACTACTTTTGGCAGGACCCATATCTGTTTCAAATTTGTGCAGACCAGCTTATTAGACGGTGTGTCACACTCTGAAGGATGGAAAATTTTAGGACATTGTCATACTGGCCCTGCTGGAGGTCATCATTTTGAGAGTAGAACAACTAAAAAGATGCTAGAATTCAGATTTTACTGGCCTTCTATTTTTAAGGATGCTTATAGGTATGTTGTGTTATGTGATAATTGTCAGAGATCAGGTAATATCTACCAAAGAAATGAAATGCCTCAAAATTACATCCTAACTTGTGAAATTTTTTATGTTTGGGGGATAGATTTTATGGGACCTTTTCTTAGTTCAAAAGGGAATAAATACATTTTAGTGGCTATTGATTATTTGTCCAAATGGGTAGAGGCACAAGCTTTACCTACTAATGATGCAAGAGCAGTCACTGGGTTCCTTAAAAAGCTGTTTTCAGGATTTGGCACACTAAGAGCTTTAATTAGTGATAGGGGTACACATTTTTGCAATACATAACTTGAAAAAGTTCTAAACAAATATGGAGTCACTCATAGAATTGCTACCCCATATCATCCTTAAACAAGTGGCCAAGTTGAAGCAGCTAATAAGGGAGTTGAAAAGACTGTTAGAAAAAATAGTGGAGAAGAATAGGAAGGATTGGGCTGACAAGTTGGATGATGCCTTGTGGCCTATCAGGACAACTTTTAAAACTCCCATAGGCACTACACCATATAGGCTTGTGTTTGGTAAAGCCTGTCATCTCCTAGTTGAATTAGAACTTAAGGCATTTTGGGCAATCAAATCCTTGAATATATCATGCAGGTAACAAACGGATGATGCAATTAAATGAATTGGAAGAATCGTGCATGGAAGCCTATGAAAACTCTAGGATCTACAAAGAAAGGATGAAGGTCTACCATGATAAAAAAGACCAAAGGAGGTAAACTATTTCAAAAAGGTGATTTAGTACTGTTGTACAATTTTGCCTCAAATTATTCTTACGTAAACTCAAATCCCATTAGTCTGGACCGTTTAGTGTGCATGAGGTATTTCCTTATGGTACAATTGAATTAACTCATCCAGAAAAAGGAAATTTTAAAGTAAATGGACATAAACTAAAATTATACCAGGGGGTTAACTTCAAACTTTTGCAAATGAGGAGTATAAACTCCTCCATGTTGAATGTTGAATTACATTGAATAGTTTAGGTTAGGTAGGTCTAGTTTATTTTAATTTATTTATTTATTTGCTCATTTATTTATATTTTTTGGTCTTCAAATAAAATAAAAAAAGAGCAGTGAGATACACAGCCATGTACATGGACGTGTACTTATTTTTCATGTTAATTCTGTTAGGCAGTGATGTACATGGCCAGATACACAGTCGTGTACTTTTATTTTGCATAGATGTGGGTTAGGCAGAGATGTACACACTTAGTTTACACGCCTATGTACTTTGCTTCCCTTTTGATTTTGATTGGGCAGTGACTTACATGGTCATGTAGATGGCCGTGTACCTAACCATGTAAATGCCCATGTGAGTCCTCTATTTTAAAATTTCTTGGGCAGTGATC